ACAGAATGGAGAGACAGTTCTTTTTGACTAATCATTTCTATTCCCAGCACGGTGTTGATGTCAGTAAGGACACTGCAGGCAGTGGAGCGATCAATAAGGTCACATTATCTTGGCTCTTTCTCCATAAGAAGAACAGCAAAATATACTTTGGTAAATGTAGAAATGCACAAAAAGATGCTTCATAACCAGAACTCTAATGTAGCAAAAGCCTACACTGGCTTTAAAAGAAATTCTGAGTGTTCAAGAGTTCTGTATGAAAATATAATTTCCTAGATTTTTCTGACCAAGTGGAAAAAATATCCGAAAACCAAAACCCCAGAAATGAATAGGCAAAAAATTAAATAAGTGAAGATGAATGTTTACATTCTTACCACAAAAGTCTTCATATTTATAACATTTCAACATTTTACAACAAAGTCATGACTCATCTCTACCGTAATGTATGAAAACATCTGTTCTCAATGACTGTGTTTACTCTAATCTACCAAACCCAAAATATGAAAAAGAGCCCTATTCTAAATCTTCTCTGAAAGTATGCAACAACTGAAATAAATAACTTCAGTTTTCATTTAGCATTAGCCATTACCAGTTGTCCCAGGCTTCTGCTTGGGTCGACACTGTACATGATTGCATAATTATCCATTAATCAGTACTGTAACCAATCACTGCACCTTGTAGGTTCTAGGTATTTAAAGCCAACTTCATTTCATTACGCTAATCTCTAAATCAGAATGAGCAGCTGTCTCTTACTTGAACGAAGGTATGCACCTATTTTAGAACTGCAGAAGTCGGTAGTGCATGTTTTTTTCAACAACTGTAGGCTTAATTGCTTGATTTGCTTTTTACCGACAGCAGGCTGAAGGAGCAACTGCGTTTTCTTTCCTCCGTTTGCTTTAGAAATGAGTTTGATGCTGATAAAAGGAAAACTTACTAAAAATTCAGCCATGGAACATAAAAGAATGTGAGAAATTCTAGTACCACTGAAAACCTTACCCTCATGAGGAGTTCCTACTGCAGCTTATATTCGACAGAAATTTTTATAGCAATGTTTGAATTTTTTTAGCTTTTCCAATATTCAACACGTGCCTAATAAATATATCTCATAGCTTCCTCCCACTGGAACTATGAGCAGCATCAGAGATCCAATAAAACAAGAGGAAAATGTTAAAACCAGAACATGGAATGACTGCTTTATCACAGATGCTCACACACGTACTCACACACTGGTTCATGTCCAGCATGAAGCTTTCCATGCCATGGAGACCATGCAGCAGCCTCAGTTAGCGGACAGGGAGCTACAGCACCACTGTTACAAATGGAGGTGGTCTTTCATATCTAGAACACTGTTTCCTACCTCTAGTTTGGTGTCAACATCCACTCTTCCCTGTTAAAACACAGTTGAGCCACTTAAGCAAGAGAAAAGAGGTGTGGGCACAGTCTGCACATAGACCTTTGTGCCGGTTTACATAGTGCCATCTCCCAGAGAAGCTGCAAATGGTGACTTCACTGTGGGTACCAAATTAAGGGAGATCAAGCTCTGCCACATCTCAGTAACCAAACTGGAGCTAATATCCTAGAAGTGATTCACCTCACCTAACTCCGGACATATGAAAGTAAGGTACTAAACATGAAAGTAAGGTACCTAAACATGAAGCTTTCACCCAGGCTCCCTACACACCTATTTCCTCTCCTAGAATTTTATCTGCCCTAGATTAAATGTACTCATGTGCTCATCAAATACACTCAAATGTACTAACATCCTGGGGTAGAATCTCTTAAGGATTCTCCTGACATCCCAATACGAGATGAAGTGCCCCTGGAGATAACTATTTGTCTCACAGATACTCTGTGGTAATGAGTGCACTTAGAAAAATCTTACTGTAGGGCAGGCACAATACAAACACAGTAGAGAAGTGCATGGGAAGGATAAGGAGCTGAGCCTTACAGAGATGTGGGACGGAAGAACTTCTGAGCCCCTTTGTACTCTCCTTATAGATTGACTTTTGTCACATATTCTTATCAGAAAGAGCAATCAGTCAATGGCTTCAACATTAGAAACCTTTTTTTTTTTTTTCCCTGGCTTGTAATGTCTTATTGCTTGTTATGAGTAGCAGAAAGAGTAAAGTTTATTTCAGTTTTCATGTCATTTTCTTTACTTGGTCAATAAATGAAATTGCAACTGATATTAACTCTTGATCTGATGGGGCTTCATGATGAAAACAAGAATGTGTGGAGAGTACTAGAGGCTTTGGTTAATTACTTGAATTAACAGCTAGCAGACACGTCAGAAGAGTGGAGTGCCTCACTGTGTTTGATCTTAGATTTTAGTTGGAGTAAGTCTTAAGGACCAAACAATAAAGGCTGTTAGACAGCAACTGAACACGGTGAGGGCAGCAGCTCTGCAGTAGGATCTGCTGTCTCTGAAGTGATCTCCAAGGCACTGCACCTCACTGATGGAAATTTATTTTTACCGTGACACGGAAGGGCACAGGCATGTCATGTATTCGCAAAGTGGGTGTTGCACTCTCAGCAGAGGGTCGCATGATCAGTGCAACACTTCACAGAAATAAGGAGTGTGTGGGTAGATTTGTAAGTTCAGATGCACAACCTACTTAACAGGGAAACAAGTTCGTATGCTTAAACTATCCACAAACAAGAAAAACCCTTACTGTTTCATAAATGTGAAACCTTCAATATTTTTTCAACCTGTGCAAGGTATGTAAGATTCCTTTCTTTCATCAGTGCTATTCAAAACTAAGGGACTTTGCAACACCTGGCAAATTTATATAGCATTTCTAGGAAACATAAATACACAAGGGAGAGACAATATGGGAAACACTGTCCGATTTTCTCCAATAAAAATATGTAGGAATAACAAAGGAACACAGAGAAGTACACAGAACACGCACAATTATCAAAACATCAGCTGTGAGTACTCTTCACACTCTTTTGAAAACACTTTACATATGATTTGTGTCTGTTACAGATGTCCTGCAACTGCTGAAAATTCACTCGATTTCAAGGTACCTCTTAGCTTTTTCTTTCTAAATTTGCATTCTGAGACTACTGAATAACTTTTTACACTTTCATCGAAAACCACAGGAATGTGTATCTGCCCATATCCATTCCATATCATGCTCTACCACAAACGTGTGTGCACATGCACAGACACACACTCTTTAAAAATCAGCCTGAGGAAAACAGCTGGTAAGGAAAAAATCTCAACTGATGCAATTAGAATTCCAACGTTTTCAGTAAATTTAAGCAGCTTATATGAAGTATGAGGCCTTGCTTATACTTTTCTACACAGTATTACTCTTCTTTTGTACAAATTCATTATTATAATACCTTAGTTTTTCTACTACACTTTTCAGTGAGATATTGCACTTGTTAGGATGACAATCAGGAATGAGTGGATTTTGTGATTAAAGCCCATTTCCCTCCTTTTCGGAGTGTAATCCAAAACACAGTTTGCTCATCTTTTTAAAACTGCTCACAATCTGTGGGCAAGGCAGACGCTACCCACGCTGCATGAGTGAAGCCAGTGTCCCTGGAAGAGATTGCTCTGGCAACGCCGAGCCAGGAAGCTGGCAATTGATAACCCTTCCCATAGATGCTACACACAGCCTTAGGCTACTTAGGTTATGAGTATGTGATGTAATGCTATGCTAGGTCTGTAAGAATTTCCTGTATAACAGAAACAGTACAAGAAAGTGAGCGTGAAAAAGCAGGCTCTGTTCCCAGCAAGGATATCACACTTGTCTGACAGTAGCTGTGAATTCCTAAACTAGCACACCAATATCTTTATAGCTCTGCACTATACTATGCATAATTTCAAACACATAGTTTTAACTTTTCTTTGCTTTCATCCCATTTATATTGAGGGAAAACAAATCGGTGAGATGTTCAGGAACTTAGAAATCTAGCATGAAAAAAAAAAAAAGAAGAAATCAATCCATCTTAACATTGGTGTTTGCAGAACGCACAGACTGGGGTAGGTAAATGACTGTGAACTGGCTTATAACAATAACGAGAAAAAACGAGGAGCTGCCGTCACCCAGCAGCGGTGCCCTAAGAACAGAACTGTGCGACAAAATCCGAGGCTGTGGTGGGTGTGCACAAGGGGGCAGAGCTGGGCTGGCAAATGGAGCCTCCCGATGTCTTCTGAGAACTTTCTTTTCCCAACCTCAACTACTTCAACGTTATCTTTCTAAAGAGGCTCGTGCTAATAGCCGATTGCTCTACTCTTAGTTACCTAAATTGGTGAATTAGTAAGCACAGCTTGCATACATTTGAATAAATCCCATGTACTCTTGCGAGCATGATTTGGCATCATTAAATGAACGACAGCATCTTGTTTTAAATCCTTTACAGCAATGCCCCAGAACATGCAGGTGGATACAGGAATGTTCCACTGTCAGTAACAGGAGAGCTCATTGAATTTTTATTTCAAAATTTACTCAAGTAAAATTTGCTACCGTATGGTTGTTTTCAGTACTAACAGATCCCTACCAGACTGTTGTAACTTTTTTCAGGCCTTCTCCTTCCACAGACAATCATCTCAGTCTGCAAGGAGCTTTATTTAACTAACAAATGAACAAGACAGGTTTCCTAACTAAACAACAACAAAAAAGCTTATTTTGACTGGTTTGCATGATAAAGTTTTCTGAAAGGCATGCGCTTAAAAATGTCAATATTCAAACAAGGTGCATATGGAAATCTTGTCCTTGCACAAGTACAGAACAAAATACAAAAATTGTTTTCACCTGAATGTAGATCTGTACCTGGTTGACTAGTCAGGCCAGAGAGAGAGTCCTGTAACTGGTAGGTTGATGATGATGATGAAGTGCCATCAGCCGTGTTGTTTGAGGTCATATATGCACCATATGTTGATGCTGAGTAATACTGTGCATATTGATTTTGGCCAAAAGCTGTGTATGATGGATAATCCTAAAAGAGAAAATGCAGCAGAGTACTTAATTAAGTAGAGTAACGAGTGATTTTTCCATTAAGTATTTCTAAGTGTGCAATCATACGACTTCTGCAAGAGTTTTGGGGGTTTAGTTTAGATTTTTTTTTTTTAATATAAGGATATTTAATGGTTTTTAATTGAAGGATATTTACTAAAAGACTACAGGAAGGTTGATGAAGTATTTAAGTGCCAAAAGATGCAGCTAGGATTCCACTGGGGTTTTGATCATTTTCCACAGAAAATAGTATTGAACCACAGTGAATTTAATTCAACATAACAGATCCAAATTAAAATAACATCCTAACACTGGAGTTATATAAATCCTTTTGTAACTGACAAACAAAAATGTTAATATTCATACCTGTTGTGAACTACTGAAGTTTGTAGAATTTGAAACAGAATTGTTTGCATAAATAGTGGATGATGGTGTAAAACTAGAACCTAAAATTTAAAAATACAATTAACTGTGAGAACTTGCTCGTGAATCAAAATAAATTTCTAAATGCAATATTCCATGTTAAAATATAGACGAACCAGAAGAACAACTTTTGTTTTCTGTTAAAACAATAGAATGCTGTAATGAAACTTTAAAAGAAATGAAATGCTACTTCCGTGCACATAGGCATACATTCCACTTCACACGATGCAAGGAAAGTATTGGCAGTAAGTTGTTACACTGATCGAGAAAGTATTTTCATTTTATTGCAGTGTCTCACCTCTCCTCAAACATTGTTTTTCTTTTTTGCCTTTGTTTCTAAGTTCTAACACTTTAGCATACGTTCACTTATGAAACAAAAAACTTTTCAAAGAATGCTTTAATGATCCAGGCATTTTTAATCGATCTGTAATGAGGCATGTCCTTGTTTTCAACATAAGTCAGATGATTCATATTGTAATTTGTAATGTTTAAAAGATTAACCATTGTATGAGAAGCTTAAAAAATATCCAAATATAACAGGTTATCAATGATCAAAGGGTAATGAGTGAATTAATAATTTAATAATGAATGAAAGAATAAATCCGAACTAAGGAGAAATTCTAACAAATTATGTTAATCCAAAGAGAAACAAGTATCAAATGATGTCATACTCAGAAACATGGAAACAAGGAAAAATGACTTGTATATGATAACAAATACAACAAACGCTTCCAGTCCTGCCATGTGACTTCACCCCACAAAAAAATGAAGATGCGAATAGAGACTGCATTGCATGACCAGATCTAAATTAACAGATGATCAAAATGATCATATATACAAGTATTAGTACTAGAAAAAAAATACTCAGCTTTAAATTTCAGAGGTAAAAGTAGCTGCCAATGATAAGCGTACTTGATAGACTTCACAAAAATGATTGGAAAATACATCACAAATATGAGGGAAGAGGGGACCATCGGCAGCGGTGGGATGGGATGAGCCCTAACAGTGGTGGCTACTCACCTGGCATCTGATAAGAGTAGGGTGTTTGGCCTGGCTGTGGGGTGGAAAACCCTGGGCTGTAACTGAGGCACCCGCTCTGCAGTGGTGATTGGGTCTGCGAGAGCCCACTTTCCGTCTTGATGCCTGGCAACATTACACCCAAATCTGTATAAGAAATTAATTTTCAACTGATTCTTTAGAACATTTTCTTACAGTTGGGAAAATAAAATAAAAAAAAAAGAAAGCCAAAAACATTCAAGTTGGCATTATTCTTACTTCTACGTAAGACGAAGTAATAAGAAGTCAAATACCGTAGGTGGGTAAGCTGTACGGCTGTCCTGTCTGTGAGTAGGCTGTATAGACTGCTGGTTGCTGCATTCCTGAATACTGGGTTTGTCCGGCATAGGCAGACATTGTTTGAGCTGCTGGTGTAGAAAGAATGTGTGGATAGGGCCTAAATATCAGGAAAAATAGCATTACTGTGGCAACAAATACTTTGTATGTTGATTCAAGCAATAAAGTTAAAAATGTCCAAAGGCAGTTCATTATTCTGCCAGCTGTTCCTCTTCCGGGATTTATTCCATCCCCCACTGAAATAGGCTGAAAACCACTCCGGCTCACATTCCCCAGGGCATGGTGAATATTTTGTGCTGTCCCAACACTACAATTTAATTCTCAAGCTACTATGTCCAGCTCTAGGTGGACTGTGTCACTGCTATACGCCTTTGATTTGACCCCTTTCAGCCAAGATCAGCACACTTAAATTCAGAAAAGCCTCCACGCTTTTTTAATCCAGTGGAGGGAAACTTGGAGTAGAAGAATAAAGGAAATACAGAGGCGAACCTTAAAGATACTGCATTATGTTCTCTGTGTATGGTTCTGCTTCAACAGACATCTAGCCTCCAGCTTCAACAGGAGATGGATCGTGCCCATTGAGAGCAGCATGAAAAATACTGACAGCAATACTTTGGTAACCAGATGGGCTTTAAACATTTGGAAAATATGGGCTAGGGAAATAGAATGGAAATAAAAATGGTCTTTTATTTCTGAAGACGGAGGTTTTATTGAGAGATTGAATAAAATCAAGTTTAAAATTTTTACCCTCCAGAGTTGCAAAAACATACAGAGAAACATTTGTCTTGGATTGTTTTGTAAGTCAAACAAGACTTTATGGACCAAGAGTTGAATAAACACACTCTGCAGAATTACGCTAACTGAAACCTGGCCATTAAAAGCCATGACTAAATTTCAGATTCTATTTTTTTTATTATTTTTTCTTTCTAATTAGTTCAGTACAGTTGGCAGCAGTTACTATCAGAAAAGGATTACTCGTTAATTTAGATGCCAATAAATTATAACAGTAGATTAAAAATTCTGTTAAACCTTCTAATGTATTTGGCCAAAAGTATCTGATGTAGTTTGCCAAAACCTGTTTAAAGTGGAATGAGGGCCGTTCTTAGTTCAGGCACCTACTTTCTGTATCAATAAATATTGGCTACCATGACACAAAAGCAAATTTGTTAAAGAAACTTGAAAAAGCCTAATCAGCTACAGTTTCAATGCCTTCTCTGTATCACAGTCACACTGATAGCTGCGTCAAATACACGGAAACAAATAGATGGCATCCTGGAAACAAGCACCCTTGTGCACAACACTAATGGTAGGACAAGCGAATTAATAGACTGCCAACTGCAGTAGTTTCATAGAACATCTACAGTGTTTTTTCCTAAAGTTCCCACTCCTGGATTCAAGCAATTGCCCAAGATTCAGTTTCCCCCCCCCCAAAAAAAAAAAGAGAAATGAAATTTCTATTCCTAACAACACCGATTGGCTTAAAAATAATTAAAATAAGAGATTAAAAGCTAATCCAATTTATTTGATTTTTAAATCTTATGATATCGGACAAGGAGGAGGAAAGGGTGGTTCATGACTGTGGAATGTTTGGAAGCATTTGGCAACGCTGGCACTGGGAGGGTCTGTGACACTGTTACCCCTCAGAACGCATCTTACACATGCAACTGCGATTTCTAAATATAAACTGTCCTCTTCAAAATATGCCTGTACACATTGCCAGCACTGTTAAGATGCTGATGTCTAAGAACGTAATACTCTGACTTTTTCCTTCTGTTGTGTGCAGATATTCAATGGCATTTCTTGTGTGGCAACACTGCACAGAGCAGGACCTTACTCCCCAGCCACGTGAGGGCAAAAAAGTTGGAGAGCGAGCTATACTGGAGTCAGCACTCAGGCTTAAGCATTTTCCTTTCTCTCTGTTTCTTCTGCTGATGAACACTTGTTTGCAACAAACCACAGAGCTGCCTACAGCCAAGGTCAATTCCCTGTAAAAGATAGAAGAGGTGCAGACACTAACTTGGAGGGATATATCTGTGGAGAGTACTGGTGCGCTGATCTTGGGCTGTAGCCACTACTTGTTATTACTGTAAAACAGAAAACAAGAGTACACCAGTTAGAAACATCATGAGACCAACACAGCCAAACAGTCTGAATACTAATGCAGTAACATTAGCAGAGAAGCTTATTGAAGTGGACAACTTTTCGACAAAGTAGATGTCACCTGAACTGCAACATCTTAATACGAAAATTAAAAGCCTCCCGAACCACTCATCGTTGTACAGAACTCTTCAGTTGGTATGGGTGTGCTGTGCTTTTTCAGCTTGACTGACATGTTTCTGAGTAAATTGCAGAGGCATATATTTCATACATCATTTGTGATCCACACACCACAGATCTTTCAAATTTGCAAGCTGTATTAAAATCGGTAGTTAAAAATAATCTTGCCATTTAACATATGGTATTGCACGGAATTGAAACAGCACACATGTACTTTTAAAGTCTCACATCAACAAGTTTAATTTTAATACTGGATAGGAAAACTACGCTTTACATGGATGTGGTTAATTTCAGTCAGCTTAGGTGATGGAAGATACTGGATTGACTACTAGAAAATGAATGCCATTCCTTATCAACAGGCTGATCAGAACATATTCACTAACGACAATATTTTTCTTTCAAAATAAGCGTAAACAGTCCTGTCCAGTAGCCATCAAAATTGGGTATGTCTATTACATTCACAGCTGCATTCTTCCAAGAAAGCTAACAGCACAATAGTCATATCCCATTAAAATTTCATTCAGAAGCGGTGCTCACGCTGGATTAATTCCAAGTGTTTGGAAGTTTCTCTTTCCTTTAGCCATCTGTCTTGACCAAGACAGATGTATTCCAAATATACGTACTCCAAAGTGTTGAACCAATCCCTTCAGAGCAAATCCATACTGGGCAAAAATACAGAGTGTCTTTATTAGGCCATCTGCTGTTCATTCACTTTGCAAAAGATTAAAGTAGTACAAAACGTAGCACTGGAATTTCTTTAGTCTAATCAATCATAGTTGTACTTCAAAGTGTACTCTCTTCCTGAGTTGTTTGTAATGGTAGTAGAAATGAACTTTCAGAATTATATAAGTGACAAATAGGTTTAGATTCCTAACTATTTTATGAGACATGATATATTTCTACATCCAGGCCTAATTAACGTCTTTGAGATCTATTGCTTTGAGCATATGCAGAACTTCATGTTTTTAAAGCTAGTTTAAATGCATTTAGAACATGTCAAAGTTAAAAGGAAAATACAGTAGAAGAAAACCAATTACCTTCTTTTTTAAATGTGCTGCTGAGAATGGCTTGAAAATAAAGAAGAATTGGATAATAACTTTTGGAACATTTGGAAATCTGCCACCAGATTTCATAAAAGAGTTGCTGATTGAAAAGATACTGAGGGTCTGCCTGTGATGGAAATCTCCTGAAATTAATTTTGTATGGATATTCTTTTTTCTTTTTTTGTTCTTGCGAATGCTTTTCTGTGGTTTAAGCTCAATCCACGGAGTGATCCACTACGTGTGTGCATACAGCTATTCTCAGAGTTAGATGAACCTATAGCTGTATATATCAACACAATTGGTCCCCAGAACTCTAAAGTATGCTCTTAGTTATTTAAGGCTTGAAGAATAATTAGTCTTCCCTGTTGTATCCCTATGACCTTTCTAAAGACAAGCAATAGCCAACAGAGTGACCTTGGTGATTCTCAGGGCAAGGAACTTTCGTGATCCATTATCAGCTTATCAGATCTTTTTTCCCCCTATTGCTCCACTTTTTGTCTGATCATTTGCTGGATGACAGCTCAATTGATTAATCAGTTTGATTAAAGCACATTTACTATTTCACCACACCCGATGCAAACTACAAAAAATGAATTACTGTTCGTTTAAATCACTTGAGCTATCAAAACCTAATGTTTTTCAGCAAGAACTGTCCTGCCTGCTTTTTTATTCCTTCTGCATATATCTTATTTTATAAAATCAGACAAGAAAATAAAATACTTTTTGAATGTGTCTATTTTTAATTACCCCCAGCCCCCTCCCCCCCAATTTCCTTGATGATACTATCACTTGTAGGGAAGAGAGAGAAAAAGTCAAATGCCCCCAAAGTAAATTGTATACCTTTTAAACTAAAAAGTCTGTTCCTTTCACTCTTTCTCTGGTAGCTTGTCCCATTGATTTGTGCACTACGTTTTAGACTGAGATGTTTGAGAAACACGGGGTATAAGATCTGCCATAACAGAACATTAAGACTGAGTAGAGCCTGTGGACTACACCTATATCTCATACATCAGATTGGTAATTCTAAAGGTTATCAAACAACTTTCACTGTTGGATAGCCTCCTAACCTTACTTATGAGGACTGTTGGTGACGAAGGAGATGGTGGAGGCAGGTTGTTATGGTTTTTGTAACTGCACCGCTGTATATAGCCATTTCTATGAACGGGGCTAAATACTGTTTTATGCTGCTTACATTAAAAAAAATAAAAACTGTTTCTTCTCTGAAGAACTTTAATATTTCTAAGACTTCACTACTTGAATTTACCAGAGGAATGCTCTTCAGGGCAGGTATAAGACCCTCAAGTTCTCAAGTCTCTCTACAGTGCTGAGGTCACACTCCAGTCCCCACTAACGCTGATTCACAGAGGGAACAAGAAGCTGACAGCCACCCCTTACCAGTAACCCTGTTAGCTCAACTGGCCAAGGTGGCTGTGTAGAATTTAAATGACTGTAAACTGTTCTGATAGCATGTCTTGTGTTCAGTATACTAACACAGGCTGGAATTTTGTAATTTTTCATTCCAAACCTGGAATGAAACCTCTGTGCAAAGAGGTTAGGTTAAAAGGATCTCGTTTAAATCACAAGGTCTACGCAGAAGGGGATCAAATGTAGGCTGTATATATGGCAGTGGTGCTTCCTAACTTTGCCTTTACAGGCTTCAGAAACTGTTTCTGTATCTTTTTTGTGTGTAATAAACACTAAATAAAAAGGATGATGAGAAGTTTAAGGGTGGATGAACTACTTAGGGATATGGTTTAATGGGGGATTAGGGACGGTTGGACTGGATGATCTCTAAGGTCTTTTCAAACCCAGAAATCTACGAAATCTATGAAGTTAAAAAGTCTCTCTCTCTGCTCCATTAAAATGATAAACGGTTCTCCAGTTAATCCAGTACTGCAAGCAATATAAACGCAAGAATGCACGCACTCACTGCAGCAAATTCAGAGTGTGACAATGCTCAGTTCAAGGCTGTTCAGCTCTCCACATCCTGCGAATACCCACCCCAACGGGAGTCTGCTGCAGGACCACAAAGCTTCAAACCCCGTATACCGATATTAATTACCAACCGTCATTCTTTGAAGAAAAAGGAGGAGGAAGAGGGCTGCGTAACGTGACCCTCCACCTGGCTAACCCTTGCTAAGAGGCACAGCTTCTCCCAGGGACAGCTCTGCAGAACCGTAGCCCTGAGCGTGAGCTGCAGCACGTGAGCTGCAGCCCTGAGCAGGAGCTTACCCAGTGGCCTGGGCAAGGCCACTGTGGCAACTGTGACTCTAAATTCAAGAGATCTATGTGCTTTGCTTTTCAACTTTTCAACCAAAAATTGGAGTTCATCACAGCTACCTATGATGCCCAATGTGTCTCTCCTACTCAACACTGCACAGTCTGTTTGACCATCACTTTCTGTGTTACAGCTGGTCATTAGGGACAGAGCTGGCTACTTTATACCCAGAGGGCTTGTTCAACCTTCTGTTCAGCTCCAGGACATGTCATGGGTTTTGACTGCTCTTGGAGCATGGAAATCAATTTTAATGGGTAGAATATTTGAAGGAAAGGATTTCTGCATGGCAGACTCTCAAATGGGTCTCAGCACCAGGAGTTCTCTTTTCACCCATGTCTCATTTCCTAAAACATTTAATAACATATCTAAATCCTTCCCTATTCAACAAAGGATGTGTGAGTCCTTCTGACCTGTGCTTGTATAAGACAGAGTAGGTGATATCCCTGCTAGTGGCCTATGTGTCTAGGCATCCTCACACCATGAGCTCACAAGTGCTCTGAAAGCTGCGGGAAAGTACTAGCATTATCACTTTGTCATAGTTGGGAATAACACTCATATGTAATTGATTATTTGGAAAAAACAAACGTCAGTGTCGGGCTTTGTTATGCATTTTTTTCAATTGCAGCTGGTTTGTCTGAAATGACATCTTTCCACTAGTCATTATTTATTCTCTTTGGCAACCCATTAAACTTCTCAAATAACTAATTAGGTTAAAAAGTCAGAGAAATACTTTTTGGTCAGTTTTATTGTTCTTTAGCACTTCTTCCACAAAACTGACCCAACCAAATTGTCCAATTTGCAAGTACCAGTAAAAGGCAAGAGTGAAAGTAATGGATTTACTCTTTATGAAAGGCTCAGTGTGTTATCAAGACCACTCTGTGTCTCACTCTGATGATGAGAACTGCACATCACCCAGACAGGCAGACTATTGATTTCTCACTGTGAATGACCACACTCATTTAATACTGGAGTTTGTGGCCTAAACTGAGAATCAGGTTCATGTTTCTTTTGGGAATGCAGGTGGCTAACAGACAAAAATGATTGTGTAAGGCTCAAATTCCTGCCTTTTTTTGGAGTCACTGATTGTTTCCAAATCTCTGAAGTGTAGAGATCTCAACGCTTCTTTTGAAGTCAGTGGAAGCGAATGGGTGATTGGCACCTGGGGAAATCAAGCTCTTACTTAGCTATCTAAACCTGAACTGGAGGTTGCAATTTTTGGCACCCCTTCACGAAAATGTTGCCTCAGCCATTTTTTACGCATAGAATCCAACTCAGATGTCCTAAATACTTGGCAGAAGCTGATGAAATTTCACCAACAACGACAAAATCATATATATGGTTGGACATTTTATAATCTGTAATCACTGCTAACAAAATTTTAGGATAAAGTAAGAGCAGAGCGAAAAAGAAAAGTTAATTTTTAGCCAAGACTATTAATTCTTTTATGAAACTCGTTAAAGTTGATGGGGTTCCTTTCACGATAATCATAATGAAGACAATGTTTTAATTTTTTCTAAACAAAAATAGTATATGCTTGCTTTACATCTCACAAAAGACCTTTTCTTCAGGCCCTAAATTTGTTATAAATACTTTTCTGAATAACCCTCTTTGGAGTATATCTGCATTTATTGATGCCTCATAAAACAATTCCAGAAATACATACTTAATTTTTAAAACATTTTCATTACACAGAAACATAGTGATTTCCAAAATATTTTAAATAGGGCTTGACTACCTAAGTCCACCAAAGTAATAGTAGCATCAGTGCGGAGTGGTGACTCCTGGCTTCAGTAACATTTCAGTTGGGCCATCAATGAACTAGTATTATCAGATGCAAAATTTATTCTCCCCTCTCTTCTTGTTAACAATATTATTATTAGCAGGATTCAGTTTAATGATTAGAAGGCAGGTTATCTGTACTTCTCCACAGTTCAACACCTTTTAATAATTTCTAGGAATCTACTTAAAAATTGCTGTTTGTTTGAATTTTTTAAGAAAAAGTAACTGAAAGTTATGATTATTTAAAGTAAAACAGACTTTTTTTCATGGAAAGAAAGTAGTTTATGCCCATCTGGTCAGTGTTTAAACTAGCACACTGTTCATATGAATAAAAATATTAGCAATGAAATATAACGCTTAAAATTTAAAATTTTGAAAACTAGAACGGCTATTACAAACACAATTCGTTTTTTTCTTCCTAAGATCGTACAAGACACTGATAATCTACAGTACAGTAATAACATTATTACTACAAGATTTTTGCATACAGTAACTGTCTTAGGCATCATTAAAGCTTCTTTAAGATCATAGCTCATGAAAATTGTAGATTTTCATTTACAAAAATGAAAAAGTTGTTATTATTATTATTACAATGTTACTTTGTTGCAGTTTTTTAAAGATTGCTTCCATGCAGTGAAACGTTCATTAGTGAAGGTTATTAAATGCTATATTAATGTGCATCTAACAATACGTGATCTTATTATGGCTTTACCTGACCCAGTAAAAGTGTCAAGCGATCCATCTCCAGTTGTTGTTGCTGTTTCACTGCTGTTCATGGGTTCTGTTTTGACTGCAAGAAGAGACACTACATAGAAGAATAAGTAGACATGAGATTTTACTTCTAAATTTACACTGGAGTACTCATGCCAGTCTCACTAGCTGTAGTCCAGCTAGAACAAGCATGCAGTGCAACAGCTTTGACCTTCACTCTACCACCGTATTGAGACAATCTACACTTGCTCTGTCCAGAGAGGTCATGCATCTACATGGCTTTTTATCTGTGCATTCGTCTATCTATTGGTTTTAGCAACTGGAATATCTTTTGGGGAGATTTGAACCTAAATCTAATTGATTCTAACAATTCCCTGAGAGTAGCAGAGAGGAAGGAAACATTAGCTGTCAAGGGATGTAGCACATACCAAAACCAGTTTTTCCTGAGAAGTGGAACAATAATAATACGGCTTCATGCTCACATAGAAGCAAATTACTTTCACAGTGACAGCATTCTGCCTTTCCACTTCCCCTTTTACAGTCTGTGGGGGGCTTTTCGAGCTAGGTCACGAGCAAGCAATTTTCAATACATGAAGAGAGAAGTTTAAAATGAAAAAAAAAAAAGGCAAAAGAACTAGAGTAGGACACAAACGACAGCCATGACAATTCAGCTTCTAACTCAGAGGTTACCAAACATTTGGGTCCACCTGAACTCAAATTATTTCTTACAGATCATCATGCACTCTTACCATCCAAACTATAACTGAAAGCACCACAGAGGCAATCTAGATTTTATAGTTTAATATGTTACCTGAATAGACGACCTGGCATGGTCTTTTGTAACGGGAGTTTGGGAACCACCCTTCTAATTGATGTGGTAAGAAACAGTGGTGCAGAATACACTGCAGCTTTTATTAGACGTTTGACTGGTAAACGTGGAAACCCTCAACGTATTATCACAACTGCTTTGGGAAGGTCATTTAGGTGGTGTGTGTGAGCATTTATCATATATGTATCAACAACTTGCTTATAGACACCACAGGATCGGTCGCTGCTCGGGGATGCAGAGTGAAGTGACAGTGAGGACCTGCGCGGACCAGTACCGTGGTCGTACGCCAGGTATCGAAATTCCAAGGACACAGCCTGGGATTTGTCAAGAAGCCTTTGTTGTGACAGCCGGGCTGGCAGAGCCCCCTCAGCAGGTCTAACATATGCCAAGCAAAGGCATTTTCTGCCAGCTAGTTACCTGATGCCTCTGAGGAGCACCAGCTAAGCTGACCAAAGCTCTCGTCTGTCAACATCACTGCATCCACGTTTGACTGCACTGGCAATAGTAAGGGGAGGTGGGGAATTTCATGTTCTGAGCTGGCAACGTATTTACAAACTATGGCTCAGATTCAAGCCGTCTAACTTAGGCATAAAAAGGTGCATACTGACATCCCTTTATGTTCAGTGGAGAAAGAGAGGTACTTCCAGAGGGTGATTCAGTCCAAGTACAGCCTGAGCTGCCCTCGAGTTCACCATCCCTCTTACAGTCTGTAGAAGAAAAGGTAGCGGATGAGCTAAATAAAGGCTTTGGTTTCCTCAGCGGAAAAATGTCCAGAACAACACCCACAGAGCCATTCTGCTATTCCTCCCTGTGCCTGTGAGCATGAGGAGGAGCTCACTGGGAACTGTGCAGCCACTGGGACAGCTGCCTGTGATGGGCCCTGCGTGAGTATTTCCTCTCCAATTTCACAGAATCATAGAATCATAGAATGGTTAGGGTTGGAAGGGACCTCAGAGATCATCTAGTTCCAACCCCCTTGCCCTGGGCAGGGACATCCTCCACTACACCAGGTTGCCCAAAGCCTCATCCAACCTGGCCTTGAACACTTCCAGGGATGAGGCATCTACAACTTCTCTGGGCAACCTGTTCCACTGCCTCACCACCCTCTGAGTGAAAAATTTCTTCCTTATATCCAATCTAAATCTGCCCTCTTTCAGTTTAAATCCATTGCCCCTTGTCCTATCACTACCAGTCACGGGTCTTACTTCAGTAAGAGTGCTTAGATCAGGCAGGGAACATTTGAGAAATCGAGAGGTATTTGTCTCTGTGGCAGGGAGAGTGCCCTGCACTGCCATTGGTGCCCCGGTGCCAGCTGAACCAACTAGCACCTTCTTACACAAGTTGCACCGCTGCATCTTCCCATTTACTGTGCAAGATTAAAAAATACTTGAATGTGTGTCTTTTAAACGTAAATTTATTTTTATTATCATTTCTCTTTAATAAAGCTGCCACACCCATCTACTCTCCCTGCAAGCAGGAGGATATTAATTCAACATGAAATCATCAGGGAAAAATTTTAGCCACATTTTTTCAAGCTGTCGTGCAATCTTACTTATTTTGCTGGCTGTTATCTTCTCATTTAGAAAAAAAAAAAAGGCTGTGACAAACATTACACAAAATGAACAAACTCATTCATAAGAGTAATCAACCATTCCCATTTCTCTATTTAGATGAGAAAAACGTGATTTTATTTTCATAAGATCAATAAAATACACATAATGAGAAAGCTTAAGGGTCATTTGTCACAAAATAATTGCCTACACTGAACTTCAGGCCTCTCAGTCATGTGGAACATGTGTTGTTGCCTGAAGCATGAAAACTAAATAATTTGTTTTCTGATTACTAGATAAAGATGTTTGCATGTACTTCCATAGGAGAATGAAAAGACATACTAATTTGGAAAGATCTGTATTTTCCCCTCTGAAGATCTTTGGTCATATTTTACTTTATAAGATGCATGTCTCTTTTCTCTTCAGAGTAAGAATATCACCTACATGAAAAAACCTACTTTTTGGTACCTTTTTCTCTTTCTATTCAAGAACATATTCCACTATCGCCCATACAGAGCTACAAACCTATGTTCAGTATTGCATCCAGAAAGACACGCCAGTATGTGCCTAACTGTTTTATTTAACAAAAACTTCAGTAATGAATTGAAATGTTTACTTTAGAGTTGTGTCTAGTTCTGTTTAATGCCAGCTGCAGTGCACTTCCATCGGCACCCACAGACACCATCTTTTTCTCTTCCTGTCAAGCAGAAATGGATTGAAACCAAAAGAAATTCTCTCATGTACTTAACTTGAGGAAAAACATCATATTGGCACCGTGTTTTGTTGAAAAATACATGCAGAAAGTATTTTTATACATGCTTGATTTTAAATATTTCTACTTTTGTTACATTCAGATTTTATCACACTAAGGAATTCATCAAGGTCTTTCCTCAGTGTAGCTAGAGATTTTGACTATTATCTTTCTTTCTTTACGCTGCGTGACATTAAACCAGGAGGTGAAAAAGCAGAAAAAAGTTAGAAAAGGATTCTAACATCAGTTCAAAAATCCAGGAACATTTAAAGCTGAAATCAAAATAAAAGCCGACATCAATTAAAATCACAGAATCATCTCTATGTTTTCCTACGTGAGATAAAGCATGGTGCTAATACTACTATGGCAACTGCTCTAGACATAATGCAAAGAATAAGAGTTTGAACCAGCATTTTGGATGAATACTTTAAAAACTACACATTTAATATTCTATTTTTTTGAAGTGTGGATTAGTTTTAATTTTCTTTTTTTGCATATCGAAAGAGTAAGAATAAAATGAAAAGCTGGCAATACATTTGACTGTTGCTAACAGTGAAGACTGCACATTCTAACAGAGCAGAGCTACCATGAGCATCAGGGGCTGGGGCATAGGATGTGCAAGGACAGACAGAAGAAGCTGGGCTTGTTCTGTCCTAGGAAGAGAAGGCTGAGGAGAGAATTAATTGCTGCCTGCAGCTATCCAATGGGAAGGTGCAAAGATGAAAAAGAACAAAGGCACACTCTTCTCAAAAGATGCCCTGTGAAATGACAGGAGGCAACAGGCACAAGCTGCAGCAAGGGAAAAATCCAATTTGATGTAAAAGGAAAATTCTTTGCTGTTAGAGTAATCAGGCCCTAGGATAGGCGCCCAGAGAGGCTGTGGCACCTCCACCTTGGACATACTCAACGCTCAACTAGATGCTGCGTCGAGCAACATGATCTAAGAGCAAAGCTGGCTCTGCTCTGAGCAGAGGTTGGCCCAGCTGACCTCCGGGAATCCCTTCCAAACTTATTCTATAGCTCCCAACAGGCAGCAGCTTCTACAACATAAATTCTTTACTTGATGAAAGGACTTAGTAGACCAACTTGACTATTACTCTGCCAACCTCTTTTTTTTTCCTTAAAGAATGTCTCTGCATTAAGGACTGAAAATAAACAGAGTTTTAGAGGCAAGAGATGCTACTACAATTCATGAAGCAGGACAAGCAAGTGCAACAGCTATTAGAGCAAACGAGTCTGACTAAAAGCTCACGTAAAACAACAAACCACACAGCTTGTCATAGCAATGATTTTCCTTTTTCTTTTAGTAAGCATTAAGGGCTTTCCTGGGAATATACTCAACTATAAGCACATATCTAAATGTTCTACTGCCTATGGAAAATCAGTTTTAATGCAAGTAATGCAAGGACTTTCACATTATATTTCCTCACTATCAATAATTAGCACTTAAATTATTACCTTCTACATTAATTTGAACATGCTGAACAGTTAACTGAGGTGACAGACTAAGTTAGCTCAGTCCTTCCTTAAACTTAATTTCTTGCAACTGAGCAGGAGTTTTTGTGCTCAAGGCTGAACTTATTTTGGTAACTTCTCTCTGGATATGTTGCTTACAAGTGGCAAGCTAATTCTAAGAGTTTTTTTTTAAAAGGAAAGCTTTTGAGATCTTCCTAACTTTAGTCCAAACCTGCACAGCTTAAGCATCTGTGTAATGGCTTGTAGAGAGTCATGCTGACATGTTTACACCTATGAAATCTCATATGTACTGCAACAGTGTCACATCTACAAGTATTATTAATCATTACAACTTATAAGAATTAATAATACATGAGAGGAAACTCTTAAATGAAAACAACAGCTTGGAAAATTTGGCCAAAAGTTTGTAAAGTGGCAGATTACATGTAGTTGCACATTAGACATAAGCTTTAATTAATAATAAAAATAGTAGTAGGAGTAGTAACAATAACGTCAACCTCAACTTGTGCTCAGCTAATCATGCAATGTTGTATCTAAAAATAAAAGAAAAACAAAAGGGCATTCTGTGGAAAATCCATTGGTCTGACTTCAGCAATGCTGACTACTGGCAGTTCCCAGCAATGCTGGTCACCACCGGGCTCTCCCAGTCTCGACGAGCATGTAGATAGTTAAGCTAATTTTAAGTGGGTTAAATTCTCTTTGTTCATCAAATGATTTTCAAAGTATGTTAAGATAACTACTTATTGCAACTTCCTATCAGTTTTCCAGCTGTGGGAAAGGCCTCTGAAAGGGGTGGAAAAAAAGGAGTGGAAAAAAACCCCATGAAAATGTTCAAACCGCATGACAAAAGAACAGAGCAAACCAAGAGAGATGTTACACAGCAGTCACGGAGACACACCACCACACACATGCACTGTACCAGGGTCTCTCATACTTGTTGCAGAAGAGGGAGTACTGCAACTCAGCAACCAGTCTGCAGTATTTAACACCGTCATGTTGTCTCCTGAGAACAGGAATGGTATAATGGTTCATTCTCCCAGTGTCTGTTCAGCGTACCTGAATCATCTTCAAGGCAAGTAAGTGTTTTTGCACTTTGAGCCAAGTCTCTTTACTGCACTGTATTGTTCTTCTGAGTAGTATTTTAACTGGTTTATTCATGCAAGTATAACAGAGTCATCTAGTTATTAGTGTTCTTTAATAGTATGCTTAAAGTTTTCCCTTCTCTTTATGCTGGAATAAGGATTCTATTTAAAAATACAAATAGGATGAACCTTAAGGGGTTCAACTCTTCTCTGCAGAGCTGTGTTACCCACATGGACATGTACACCTTTTATTGACATTGACAGATTTTTTTTTAAATAGGGATAAGCAAATAAAATACTTTATATTGAGGCTAGAAAGAACAAACCAAAAAAAATTTCTTGATGTCAAAAAAGAAGACTGAAACTGTAGCTGGACTTGTATCCATGGTGTCACTCTCATGGCCACTAATGGGAGCAAGACTCCATCTCAGAATGGGGTACCCTGCCTCCCACTGCTCCAATTCAGCTATGGCAAAATCTATTATCTGAAAACACTGAAAGATCTGTGTTGTAGTGCTGTCTCTACAGTAATAGATACAGCAGTAATCACCAGTTACTTTTGAGGAAAATCTAAAAATCTCTTTATGGCAAAAATAGAATTAGCATGTTCATCTTGTAAAAAAGTTAAGTAAGCCTAATTTTGATGCACTTCTTTCGACAGAGATTTTAAATTAACCTAAGTGTGTGTAGCTCAGTGTATGAGAGTAAATTATTACTCAGCAATGAAGTATGATGCAGAAAATGCAATCTATTTCAAGTTATCAACAGGTATAACCAAACCTTCAACACTTTGTTCAAATCAACCATTCTGAGATTCTCCTTGTTTCACTTTCGCACAGTTCTGCCTCTTACTTCAATTGGTGCAAATCGAAGAAGTGCTGTTGGAATTAGTAGATTTATACTGGTACAACTGCCGTTTTTTCATAATTCTTGCTAAGTTTATAAAGGGATTTATAAATGGGTTTATGGTCATCCTTGAAATTATGTTAAAAAATGCGTATGACCAAAAGCTAGCCAAAGCTCTCTATGTGCCAGCAGTGTTTTATACTTACCTCCTGTTCCATTTGTTGTAACTGATGTGCTACTGAGATTAGGTTTATCCAGTTTGGAACTACCCGGCGCATCACTACTTCCAACAATATTATGAGGACTGGCTAGATCTTGCATTTCCATAGACCTATTAAAGAAGAAGATGACAGTATTTAAATGCATTGTGGTGCTATCTGTAATAATCTGCTTTTTCTATAATAACTTTTTTTACATGGAGAGTTTGTAATGCATCCAGATTAACAAATCAATACAGGTTCCTTCAAGGTCGTCTTTGCTTTTTACCAAAACTAAGAAAGCAGCTAATAATTTGATGTGAACAGCAACAAGGCCAGTATTTTTCACTTTTCCTTTAGGCGTTACGAAGTAAATGACATTGGCTTATGAAACTGCTCAAAGAGCTTGTAGAAGATGAGCATGAGGGAATGCACAGATGGAGGGATAAATGGATAAGTAAATGCACATATATAGGTATTTCTCAGAATAAAACAGAGAAATTAAGTGAAAAGGCAGTAATTACACAAAAAGTCAGAACAGGATCTTCTGCCTCCCATTATCTGTATTCCAACCACCAGCAGTCACTGCATCCACACTAAATCATAGGAACAGAACATACAGGTGAATGAACAGAACTTTCACATACATCTGGAAGATTCTTCACTCTTACAAATGCATATATTCTTACTAGCTCACTTGGTACTTTTTTTTCTTCTGAGTCATTTCTAGGAAACTTGCAAAATTTCAAGTGGATTTAGACTGCAACGTCTAAATGTAACTGTGTCACAGCTACACTGGGGGACTGTGGACAGTTTTCATTCAGTGACAACAGATTTGCCTTCCTCAGACAAAGTAGACAATGAAGACAAGTAGCATTTCTTGTTAGACCAGTAATTGCAATCCTATTTGCAGTGTGTGCTCGCCTTTTCCTTGCTTCATTTATAAATTAATTACACAGACTTTTCCCCCAAAGAAACATTTTTGCTATGTATAAGCAAAGTTGCCAGCCCATCTGTGACAGGAGAATCATTTACCATATGTGTACTACAAAGGCCAACAGAACGATTATAGAGCTGTAAAAGTCCAATTACATTGTAGAAGACTGATATGGCTAGGAAAGAGATGACCAGTTGAGATAGTTCAGTGAGAATAACCACTTCCATATATTCATATTCTGACCAGGAAAATCAGTGGTAAATTGTTAAGACAACACCCAGCATCGTATTTATAGCAAGTTTCACTTTGAAATCGCCTATCTTCTGTGCTCCACGCATCCTCCTCTGGTGGAAAAAAAAGCCTGAAAAAAACCCCATCATCTTTCCATCAAATATCGGTCTGCTCCCATTTTTTTTCTTCAAGAAAAGGGAAAGAAAATAAAACCCCACAGAACAAAAATGTCTCCAGTTTCGTACTCCTAACTCCATTGATGTCCTCGATGCTTTAGCTTGCCACTCATTGCATTCATTTAACCCAAGACACAGATTTAGAGCCTTCATGTCTTGAATATCTATCTTCCAGGAAATGTGGGAAGTACTACATATCAACTGAGAAAATGCACCTCACCCAAAGGCACATGAAGCCCAGGCAAAGAATGTTAATTTACTCCAGCAAATGCTCACATCAAGCCTGAGATGCACCAATACTCCACTGGCAGGGCAGCCTTCCCAGCAGCAGTCTGGATGAGCAGAGGAAAGCTGATATGGCAGGAGGCCATGCATCAGCAGGTAAGAATTTTATAGCCATATTCAAGGAAATGCAAAGGCATAAACTGAGATTTGAATTGCCATGACCCGGATTTCATCATCTAATTGTATATACATATCCACACATCCATCAGCAGCGCATTATATTTACTGTCTACTGGAAATGTGATCGGTGTTAAGACGAAATAAAACGAACTCAAGTGGATTACTAGTCCATCGTTTTTGCTTAGCAGTTTCTCTACAAGGATAGAAGCTAAAGGTTAAAAAAGTCTAAGTTTCCATCTTGTATGTGTTTAAGGGAGCCGGGGAATGCCATGCAAAATAAACAACGTATGTTTCATTGCATCATACAGTGTAACACTCCCCATGTGTTCACTTAGCAGTTTAAGTGTCATGATCTCCTGTTCAAGCACGATCAGCCCAGAGACACTTAGTGGGCAGTTCTAGATTACACAGTTCACGTGTGCTTTTTTTTTTTTCATAAATATTGCAATAATTTTGTTTCACACAGGCATGTATCATGGCCATAGATGTAAATGCTTCTGCGATATTTCATAAGCAAAATCATTGATTTACCTGGTGTATTTAAGAAGTATCCATCTTAAGTACTTTTCACATTCAACTGAACCAGATTTTCTTAATCAGATATCTAAGTCCACTGCTTTTGCTTTGCTTGGGAAAGAATATAAACAATCTGACTTTGTAAAAGAAGTAGGTTTTGATCCATGCAAGTATGAAATCTTTTGTGCAGAACAGTATTATATTTGCTTTATATTTGTTTTCTATAGCAAACAGCATCCTGGTCCACAGACATGGCAACAAGCTATTTCACTAATACTATTTCAAAAGTAGTACGTTTACAAATAGACATTTTCTTTTGGTGAGTAAAAGACATATTGCACTTATTGATAGTCTATTAAGGATAAAAAGGATAACCAAACCAATAAAAAGTTCCACAAAACCATGTGTATGCATTATACTTATCCTGGGTGCTCTACCCTGTGTGAACAAGTAAAGGGATTATTTTAATATATCCCTATGTGATATGTTTATTCAAGAGCACGTGTTAGCTTCTGTGTAACAGATGTCATTCAATTCACCTTTCTGGATGCATTTATTTTACCTTTAGCCTAAAGAATTATCTGGAAGATTTAACAGACCTACTAAAATCTTGCCATTTCAGTGAATGGAGGATTCAGGAAAAATGCTTAATAAAATGGATGAAATAATTCCAACATCTTGAATTCATTTTGTCAAACTAAATGTTTATCAGAGTCCTGCTTTCACTGACTTAATTAGAAGCAGGTTTGCATTCAGTATGTGTTTTCCTGCACTAAAAAAAGTAAAAAAGAGTGATCTCTGAAGGACCAATTAATACTTCTAAGTTTATGCAGTTACTTACTAAAGACTGTTTTCTAGTAAATGCAGTGTGTTTTGATTTAGACAGAATAAAGCCTGTTGTTAAAGCTGCTTAAAAAACTGTCATAACACTTTATTTTCCATTTTTTAGTTTCTCTGCCAAGCACATATCTATTTGAGCTTTAATCTTCCCCCTCTTGCATTGTCTCGAGCTACCTTTTAGAATAAATAAAGTGCTAAATTGTATCAAAATACAAATTCTGAGGGAAGATCTTTTATATCATATAAATCATATGTATCATAATTTTTATATAATACTTGGGAAGAAGATCTTTTAATTTTCTCTTGACTGTTTGTTTGAAGAATGTTAGTGTGATTCCAAGGTCCTGAGTGAAAACCTGAAACCTGGCAAGATAGATTTGTCTTTTATTCTGCTTTGGCTATGCTTTAAGTCTTTGAAAATTGGTATTTGCACATGCTTAGTGGATCATTTTAGAGGCTTACTGGAAAAGTCTTTAAAACATCCCATTTGCACAGAACAGCCTCCCAGATCCTCGTGGGCTTCAACTCCAACCTGGATGCGGACAACCCCAACAAACTGAAGCAGGTTTGTACCAAAAAAATGGCTGTGTGTGAATCCTGGGCCTTTCACATTTTGTTCCCTGGCTTGAAGCGACATCTTTTCAAGGGTTAACCTTTCTAATTAAAATACTATAAATGTGGACTAAGAGGTAGGTCCTTCCAGAACTCAAAACTCCATTGAGTATTCATGAATTCTATAAGTAGGTCATATTTAGATAATTTCCTTGTTTAAAGAGATCATGTTTTAAAATGTTATCTTTTTGCTACATTATCTACTTTTACTATATTTCAACCTTTTTTACTAACAAGTTTGAAAGTATGAAATCATTTATTAAAGATTTATTAAAAAAATATTCTAATGTGAAAACTAAGTACTTTAAATCCTAGTCTAAAGAGAACTTTTTACAAATACTGATTTCTCACTGTGCAGCATTTGCAACAAATCTAAAAAAAAAGGGAATTGAAAGGACTGGCTAAATTTGTTTAAAATTAGAATCATAGAATCATTTGGTTGGAAGAGACCCTCAAGTTCATCGAGTCCAACCATTCATCCTGCACTGTCAGGGTCCCTAAACCATGTTCCTCAACACCAAATAAACACCTGCAGGGAGGGGGACTCCCCCCCCTCCCTGGGCAGCCTGTTCCAATACTTCACAACCCTCTCTCTAAAGACATTTTCCCTGATATCTAACCTAAACTTCCCCTGGCGTAACTTGAGGCCATTCCCTCTCGTCCTGTCATTCCTAATGTGGGAGAAGAGACCAACCCCCATTTCCCTGCAACTTTCTTTCAGTTAATTGTAGAGAGCGATAAGGTCCCCCCTGAGCCTCCTCTTCTCCAGACTAAACAGTCCCAGCTCCCTCAGCCGCTCCTCATAGGACAAGTTCTCTAAACCCTTTGCTAGTTTCATTGTTCTTCTCTGAACCCGCTCCAGCACCTCAACGTCCTTCTTGAAGTGAGGGGCCCAAAACTGGACACAGTACTCAGGTGTGGCCTCACCAGTGCTGAGTACAGGGGGACAATCACTTCCCTGCTCCTGCTGGCCACACTGTTTCTGATCCATGCCAGGATTTTGTTGGCTTTCTTGGCTGCTTGGGCACACTGCTGGCTCATGTTCAATCGGCTGTCGACCAGCACCCCCAGGTCCTTCTCTGCTGTGCAGCTTTCCAGCCACACTTCCCCAAGACTGGAACGCTGCAGGGGGTTGTTGTGGCCCAAGTGCAGGACCCAGCACTTGGTCTTGTTGAATTTCATACAGTTGGCCTCGGCCCATTGATCCAGTCTGTCCAGGTCCCTCTGCAGAGCCTCCCGACCCTCAGGCAGATCAACACGACCTCTCAATTTAGTGTCATCTGCAAACTTGCTGAGGATGCACTCGATCCCCTCATCCAGATCATTGATAAAGATGTTAAAGAGAACAGGCCCCAACACTGAGCCCTGCGGAACACAGACATGAATGGAATAATTTCATTTGGTTTATAAATTAATC